CTGTGTGTGGATGGATAATGGAAAGCCAGAGACAGACACATGATTACACCCTGAGGGAAGACTGATTCAATCATGTCCTTTATCAGCAGAGCTCTCATCGACAGAACACTCTCTGCTCCTGCAGGCAAACAGAGTAATATAATGGAGCTTACAGTATCTTCTATGTTATGATTACATTTTCTTCTCTGTTGTGGTCATCTTACAGTCTAATAGTCATTATACGCTAGTAGTACTTAGTAGTTGCTGTGCTTGACCAGTTCATTTATGTTTGCTTCTCCTCTGTCTGTGCTCCCTCCCAGGTTTGGCACTCTGGATCTGGACTCCTGCTCGAAGGAGGGCAGCAATCTGAGCTGCACTCGGTCAGATTCTGGCAAGCTCAACTTCTTCATCCAGACGGTACGACCAAAGGACACGGTGCTGTGCTACCGCGTTCGCTGGGAGGAGCTGCAAAGTAAGCGCTCGGTGGAGCACGCCATGGCCTATAACGAATCTCATTGGTACGGAGGGGCGGAGACGGCAACCCAGTACTGGCCTATCAGGATGCAGGGCGAGGAGGAACCGCAGCCTTTCATCACCAGTGACGTCTACTCGAATCGGAACGCTTTCGGGGGGATCCTGGAGCGCTATTGGCTGTCCTCGAACGCCACTGCCATCAAGATTAATGACTCTGTACCGTTTCATTTGGGCTGGTCGGAGAAGGACAGGACACTCAGGTTCCAGGCCCGGTTCCAGGACTCCCCCTTTAGACCACCAGAGGGTCAGCAGTCCTTACCTGAACTCAGCTATAGAGTGTGTGTGGGGTCGGATGTTACCTCTATTCACAAATACATGGTGAGTACAGACGTACTGTGGAGTTGATGGAAAGAGCACAAATGCTACAATAACATGTATTAATCATTTAAGTGCAGTGTAGTTGGGTTTCAAAGTTGAATGAAGTTGAAGTGTGAATTGTTTAATCTTGGATATACGCACAAGAACTCTTGAAAATGCGTGCATTGGTTCTCTGCCAAGCAAATTGTTGTTTAACTTAAAAGCAAAATTAGAATGAAGATGACAGGAAATACCAGTGCCAAGTTGCAGTCTTGGCTGGATGTTCATCTGATTCACATGAATCCATAACAATTCAGTCAGTTGTTCAAGTAATTTATCTACCAAAGCCACCGAACAGTCTCTGGTTCAAGTTTTTGCTTTTCTCTGTTTAATATTACTATATTATGAATGCCTTTGGGTTTTGAACTGTTGATCGGATGAAAACAATACCCTTGAAAATGCAACTATGCCCGATGAGAAACTGTGTTCTACATTTGATAAGCGTTTACTTCATTAATCAAAATATTAACAAATCGATAAAGAAAAAAAAAAAGACTAGTTGCTAAAGTAACAATGATTTGAATCAGATTAGTTTTGATTCCACACCACTGCCGACGTCTCTGTAAAGTAGTATTTGAAGCAATAGTTTGATATTTTGGGAAACATACTTAGTTGTTTTATTACCAAGACTTAAATGAGAAGATCCAGATCACTCTCATATCTGTGGGTTATATGGCTGGTTAGCTTAGCTTGACGACTGAAAGCAAAGGGAAACAACTAGCCTGGCTGTGTTGTTGTATCTAAGCTAGGCTAACTGTCTGGCCGTAGCTGAACATTTAATGGACACATATGAGAGTCGTTCCTGCCTTATCATCTAATTCCTGGCTAGAAAGAGAATAAAAGGAACAACCCTTTTCACCGTGCATTCTTGTTTGGAAGACAAACAAGAACTGTTGATGTAGTACCTGTAGTAAGTCTCTGTTCTAAATGCATGTGTTGTGCTCAGGTGCGTCGGTATTTCCCAAAGCCTATCAAGGTGCCGTCTCCTGAGGTCTTCAAACAGCCATTGTGGTCCACGTGGGCTCTCCACAAGACTGCTGTGACTCAGGAGAAACTGCTGCGCTACGCCTCTGACATCACCAAGTACGGCTTCACATGCTCCCACCTGGAGCTGGACGACCGCTACACCGCAGACTACGGAGAGTTTGACTTTGACCCGCAGAAGTTCCCCAATGCTAGCGGTATGTTTGACAAGCTCAGAGAGGACGGCTTTCAAGTGTCGCTCTGGACCCATCCTTTCATCAACTATGACTCCATCAATTTTGGCGTCGCTGTGGAGAAAGGACTGTTCGTCCGGGAGCCGAGCGGCGAGCTGCCTGCTCTGGTGCGCTGGTGGAACGGCATTGGGGGGATCCTGGACTTCACCAACCCGGAAGCCCGTGAGTGGTATTCCTCACATCTGCACATGATGAAAACCCGCTATGACGTGACGTCCTTCAAGTTCGATGCGGGAGAGACGAGCTACCTCCCACGCCAGTTTAGCACCCTGGTCCCGCTGTCGGACCCCTCCACCTTCACCCGCCGCTACACGGAGATGGCCATCCCATTCAGTGAGCGTGCGGAGCTGAGGGTGGGTTACCAGAGTCAGGACATCTCCTGCTTCTTCAGGATCATTGACAGAGACTCTGTGTGGGGCTATGAGCTCGGCCTCAAGTCCATCATCCCGACTGTCCTCACCATTAGCATCCTGGGCTACCAGTTTGTCTTACCTGATATGATAGGAGGGAATGCATACCCCAACCGCACCGCAGGTATGGTACTCAATAACATATGGCTACAGAGAGCTTTAGAGTTAGCTCTCTCAAAGACACATGTTGATGTGGTTTTGATCTACATTCTGACATCTGCGTTGTATGTTTAGTTGGTTTAGATGGCAAAAATGTTCTGCCGGACAGAGAGCTGTACATCCGATGGTTGGAGCTGTCTGCTTTCATGCCTGCCATGCAGTTCTCCATACCACCATGGGCCTATGACAATGAGGTGAGCAAAGTGATATATTTCATCCTAACTGAACGCCAGAGGCAGTGCTTTAACACTGCTTCTGGCGGTCATCAATGATTCATGGAACCATGGTTACATCCGTAACTCTGGTTTTATAACTAGTAAGAAATAAATGTGTTTATTCCCTGTTCTGTTATTTCCTGTCCATGAATGTGATAATTAGTGGGGACGAATTAATATGAATGTATATAAATGGAGACAACTAATAATAATTTATGTTACTTGTATGTACTTCATTGCCCCCCCTTAATAACCCAACCATCATGCTACACTGTCTGCTAGACGACATGCTCCACTGTGACGCAAACATTGTACCTGTGTGTTCACCTCCAGGTGGTGCAGATAGCGCAGAAGTTCACAGAGCTCCACGAGACTCTGGTGGCCCCGAGGGTCCTTGAACTGGCAGGCGAGGTTCTTGATACTGGGGACCCGATCATCAGGCCCCTCTGGTGGATTGCCAACGACGACGAGGCAGCGTACAAGATCGACTCCCAGTTCCTGATCGGTGACGACCTGATGGTGGCGCCGGTGTTGGAGCCAGGGAAGCAGGAGAGGGACATCTACCTGCCTGCAGGACGATGGAGAAGCTACAAGGGGGAACATTTTGACAAGGGCCCCATGTACCTCACCGACTACCCCGTGGACCTGGACGAGATAGCTTTCTTCACATGGGTTCACTGAAGGCGTTAACGGCACATAACCTTAACTCGCACACACATATTGTATGCACATGTATATTCTAGTGAGCACAAGCCAAGAAATAGCAGGAGATGTTTGTTTGTTTTTCAAAGGGAAATGACCACTAAGGGGATCTGCCGCCACAGCAGAGTGTGATTTATTTAATTTTTTGGTAAAGATGAACCTCACATCTCCTCTGATCTGCTCTTTCTTTGGACAAAGAATTAGAATGAAAACTTGTGTTCACTTTTGATTCTCTCGCTCCATCCTGAAGCCGATCCTCATCCTCATGTGCCTTCCACAGCCAATAGTTACACCGATCTCTGATTGTATCGTCACCGCAGTCTTCCACCCAATGCACATCTAGAGTCCTCCAAGGCCCATAGCTCGAGTGTTTTTGGTTTTAAGGCTGATAAAGAGGTAGATGCAATACCTGTGCGATAAGGTGTTTGATGTGTGTCTCTATTGTGGGCTGACAGGTTTAGGCACTGAACCAGCAATAAATACGCACAGATGCACTCAGAGGGCATGCCTAACCTTATGTCACCATGGTAACTGCTGTATTGTGAACACTACTAACTACCTATGGTTAAAGTTAACATGCATTGACAGCTGCATGTGTCTAATTTGTCACTTTCTCTTTATATTTATGAGCTTTTCATTTGTAGGATAGTATTTGAATGTATTCATAGTAAATTGACGTGACTCTGGGTGTAAATTTGGGGTTCTTGTCATGATCAACAGAGTGCGAATATTTTTACTTCTACATTCCTGTGACCTGTTCCTGGTCGTGCCATTCTCCCACTTCAGTGCCAAAATCTATTTCTCCATTCATCTTCCGTCTTCCACCAGCTCAGGGGAAATAAAAGAGAAGTTAGAATAAATTTAGTTGATGCACGGCAAGAAATAGATGTATTGCACCGATGCTACTGGTTTGCCTTGTTAAACCGGTATTGTTCTCAAAGATGCCATGTTATAACGTCCCATCCATGTCTGCCATGTGACTTTATTTGCCTTATCAGCTGAACTAAGCTATGCTGTGCTTAGCTTAGAGAACCAGTGCAGCGGTGAAACAGTGATATATGCTTGATGCTTTGCACCTTTTTGTTTTCGAGCATTGGCATTGCAAAATAATCTGCCATCTGAATACGTGTTTGTCTGCTCTTACACAGTGATTTCTGGCATGAAAGTAAAACATCACTGTTAAGTTGTCAAAATGCCTTGCTTGAAATTAATAATAGAATATAAGCTAGCGTGAGTGCTGTTATTTTGAAATGTTAAAAGTCACTATATGTAGAACTGTTATGGGATTAGTCCTCTTTCAAATTATTTTTTGTTTGTTGAAACGATTGTGAATTGGAAGTCTTCGTTTCACTTTCTTGCATTCGTGATACTACCACCAGATGGCACCAGCGTCATGAATGTTCAAATCTTAAATACAGGCTTTGACTTGTAAACTAGACTGCAACATTTCTTAAATGATAAATGCATCATTTGGAAAATTACTTCTATGTATTTATTGTGACAGAGAAGTGTCAGATATATTTAAAAGGGATTCATTCAAAACACTGAAAAAGGGAATTGGCCAATATTTCCACTGTGACACAAGTCTGAAATGCTAAAGGGAAGTGTTACTTGATTGAATGATTGCTGTTGTCAACGGCCTTTTTATTTAATACTTATACTAATCTAAAACGGATGTGAAAAGCTTGATATTCATATTTGTAATTACCATAAATTTCTAATGAGTTGAAAACATGAACATCCCCAAAACTGAAGTCAGACATTTTTCTCACAACATTATATATTCTACACATATTTATATTTGTTTAAGATGCTGAGAACAAACTAAAGTATATGATTTGACCAACTATGTGCTCTCCACTTGTAAAACATTGGCCTTTGTGTGGCATACATATGGCATATCAGTGTGCCATATGTATGCCACATTTCCTGATTTCCTCTTCTCCCCCTAAAAGAAAGTGTTGCCTCATTCTGACTTAGATGAAAGAATATTGATGAAGGATTAGGTACAAAAAGAAACTATTTGACAGCTACTATACTTGGCGATGAAAAGTAACCACTGGACTCAAAGCAGGAAATGCAAAATCTTAGGGTGTGCTGATCTGCGTCAGTAATCCTCAGGATCAACATCTAACCACGTAATGGATTCATTTGCTCACGATGGTTCATATTTCATTCTTCCTGTTTTGTCACTAATTAGTCACATGATTCATAAAGCTATTTTTGTTGTACACGTTGATGTGAAATGCAGAAGAATTAAACGATTCAATGGTCGAACAAGTGTTTTTATTGAACAAATATCGACCTGCAGTCAGCTTTTACATATTGAGACTTTGTTTACTCTTCTTGAGTTGTACAAATTGGGTATGAAAGAAGAGAAATATTGTGAAGCTGTAGCTGCTCCAGTGCCTCAGAGAAAGAGTGTGATAATGGCTGAGGATGCGAGCAGGAGGAGGATACTGGAACCAGTGGGTGTAGCGCTGTTACACAAGTCTGTGTTACAGCACTTTATGGGGTCAACACATAAAACATTGCTCATGCAGCTCTTGACGATGGCACCTGATGGAAAGAAACTCAGTTTCAACAACAATAAAAGCCTTCAGCACAGCAACATATCGGCTCAGATAATCTATTTGAAATGTTCAATATCTGGAAGAACCACTCACCGTTCACGTTGATGCTGGAACAACGGTCAATACCGACGGGACAAGTTAACTTGTCACTGCAGGTTTTGCCTTCACATGAGTAGCATTCCAATCCACATGCTGTACAGAATTACACAATACAACACACACATGTTTTAAACTTAATCCAAATGTAATGCTCATTGTTTTGTGCATTTTTTTTAATGAAATCTTACTGGAAACAATTCCAGCAGGAGAACGAGCAGATAAACTTGAGAGGAAACGCAAACTATGAAATATGGTATCCTCAATCCCTCAAAAAACAAAAACCCCACACCCAACAAAAACAAGACAATGATATTACAAGCCAAGGCACATGAATCATAAACTGTTCTTACCTGCAGACACAGTCACAAGCAGGATCAGAGCTCCATAGAAATGCATCATGAACGGAGAGAAAAAACAGATGTTTAATAGACTGCGTACTGGAGACAAGATGTCCACTCTGCTGAAGCTCGCCCTTATATAGTCCAATCCACCAGTCTTGTCTAGAAACCTAGTTGCGTTTCTTATGAAAGCCTCCTCCCATCAGCCTGCAGTAGTTCACCGCAAAGCATTATATTGATTGTTGCAACAACAACAACAACAACAACTGACATTTCACATTTATTTTGCTGCCAGTGTTCAAACTATGTTCAAGTGAAGTTATTGTCTCACTTTACTGCCTCTGGTTTCATTACGACTGTCAGAAAGCTGTGATGGTCCTAGATTCAAGATTTCACTCAAGTTTAAGTTAAAAAAACCTGTTTATAAGTAAAAATACTAAATGGACAAAATGATCCGTCAGAGCAATCTATAGCAAACTCTCTCTGTTGCCATCAGGGCCTGTTATTTCTGTTTGTTAAACAGTATATATGTCATTTATTGTGAAACATTAAGGGTTAAAGATTGAACAAAAAATAAACATGAAATCAGAAGATATTTATTTATTTATTCATCAAATATTAGATTTTGTCATTGAAGCTGTTTTGACAAAAACGAGTAAATAGATGATATGAGTTACCTCTCATCTTGTGAGGAAAGAGCCTGGAAGACTTTCAAATCAGGGAGTACAAAGTATACAATAAATACACACAAGTATACATCATATTTTTTGTTGTTTTCATGGTAACATGATATGTTGCAGCAAAGTGCTGTCCCATTCCTATTTACAGCATCTCAAGCCCTCACAGTCTCTCACACTCACCCACTTACCAGGTGACGTCAGTAAGTCCTTGAGGGTTCAGGGTTTGAGGGTTTAGGGGGGACATTTGGATTTGGCCTAATGGGAATGGGCCTGACTCTTCTGATGATAAACTAGATGACCTTAACATTTTTTTCACAATAAACACTTGAAATGATGAAGGCACTTGCAAATCACAATGTAGTAAATAATGTAAACCACACTTACAGACATGCCCCCTTCATGCTAATCCCTTGCCGTTTAGGAAACCTAAAAACATGATTTCTTTTTTTTCATACAATATGAAAGTGTTATTTTTACCTATTCTGAAAAGGTGTATGTAATTATTTTTAGTGAGACAAATTGTATTATTCCTGTGTGATGTTAGTCCCTATATAAACCATTTAATTGTATAGAGACTATTTCTTTAAAACTTGACGTCACTTCATGAACTGAATGACCTGTTGTGACCTCTAGGATGATCACAACTTCATCAAACTTTATTGACAATAAAGGGGTTTCTCAGCAGTTTCCAGAATAGAGGCACTCGTCATCCAAATGGCGAAAAATTAAGTTCTTACCGAAGTCTCCATGTGAAAAGGTTTAAATACCAAATCACAGCATGAGTTCTTTTAGGTTTGGTGTCTTAATGTTGTATTTTGGAGAGGTAAACTAATGGTTAAACGTTGCACTAAATGTGAAATGGTATCAACCCATAAACAACCCTTTTACACTTTCATAATTTATTTGATTCTTGATGTTTCCCTGACTAGTATCATAAAATAAAGCACATCATTAAAGATATTTAGAATGCAGTCTACAACTACTACTGTGGTTCACTGTTGATATACTGTCAGTGGGGAACCAGCTAGCTAAGATGGTATGAAGGATATCACCTTATTAATGTATCCTACTGAGATACTATGTAAATCTTAAAAGTGAATGATAAACGGAAAGCTAAATGTCTTCTTTATAGCTTTATATATAAAATACTATGTATAGTACAGTGTATATCTAGATACTGTACATATATATTTAAATTCATGATTAATCAAATTTTTCTAATTCATTAATTCAAAGTTTTCAATTAAATCATGTCATGCAGGCTCACAGTATCATCATGTTTTTCAAAGATGACATAACATATAAAGAAAGGCTATCCTTATAGAGCTAAAGTAAGATGTATTATTATATAACAAAGGGGAGCACACAGACTAAATAATCCAGGGAGGAGGAGGAGGGGGATTGGGAACAGATGAAGTTGATCAGGGCGGGGAAAAGTGATCCCACTGGAAACACCATAAAACAGATTAATAATATCCGCAAACAGAAACATATCTGCCTCTATACGAACAACTCATGAAGGGCTACCATTTACTGACTGCAGACATGTCTGTTGGTTATTCTGCAATCACACGGTGTTAGCATGCTTTACTTTGAATTGGCTCTTCTCAACAGGATGTGGTGTAAGAGTTGTTTGACTGAGGGGTGTTTTCTTTCTTTCTGGTTTTGTCTGTCTGCTCGTGCCCATCCCCCCCCCCACCTTGACTTACACATCCGAATGCTCCTTCTTGCCCTGCAGCAATCACTTTCCCGCCATCCCCATTATCTAGATTTCCCCATTTCCTCCATTACTTATTTATACCAGCACATTTCCATCTGATCGTTTCCAGCCACACACTCTGGCCTGGTGGCCTCCTTTGCATCTGTCTCAGCTTCCCAGGCCTGTTTCTGCCTGACCTAATATCAAGTATCAAGTTTCAAGCTTGTTCCATATCATAGCCACAACAATTACAGAGAAGCAGTCGTTGGCAATGGAAATCTTTGATCTTATGGTCCCTGCAACCATGCTAATTAAATATGTATAAGAAAACCAAGTTCTCTTCACAGGAAGCTGGTAACCATGTTATAACCTAACACAAACGTTTAGAAAACTGTCCGAAACCAGTTTACGAAGACACGTACAGACGTAAGACTTGTACACTTGAAACTTTAATGTGTGAGAAAAACTGAGTTGGTTTTGGTTTCCTGATCTCAGTGGTTAATTCTACAGCAGACATATACTCTGCAACTATAGAGCATATCCTGTAAGAGTTTACAGGCAGAGAAGCACCAGAGAAAACACAAACAAGCAGCCAAATATGAATTAGATAAATAATATATATGATGAATTACAATTCAATTTATGAGGTTTATAGTCTCCACTAGCCACCTCTTTTAAGACACTTAAATGCTTCAAAATGTATATTTACTGACAAATTCTATACAGTGGAACAAAATGTTAATATCTTAAGCTCATGTTAACCACAGACCCTTTTTCAAACTCATAAAGCATCAACTTGGAGGTGCAAAAATGCGAACTCATTTTCAGGTTTTAGGACTCATTCCTGCACTGCTTTTTTGGGAAATGTTCAATAAGGACCGTCTAGTGCTAGCGTTATTACATTACAAGCATGTGCTTGAAAAAAAAAAGAAGTAAATTTAAGTTTAAAATTAGGCTGAATATTGGAAAGGTTTCATAAGCTGGAGAGGTGAGAGAATTTTATCGTTAACTCAACAACAAACACAAAAAAGCTGCACACAAACAAGTCAGACTTTTAAGACTAAATGTCTCACAAGTTAGACATTTAAATGAAAGATCGTCTCACTCACGTAGAAACAGTTTTTGCAGTTCACAATTAGAAAGCAAAAAAAAAGCGCTGCATTGACAAAAAACAAAAACGCAGAGCTTCAGAGAGAGAGCGTGATCATGGCCAAGGACACCAGCAGGAGGATGACACTGGGACCAGTTGGTGTGGCACTGTTACACAAGTTCCCCTCGCAGCAAGCCATGGAACCTGTGCATAATAAGCTGGTTTGGCAGCCCTTGGTAACCATGTTATAACCTGCAAAACACAAAGGGGAAACTCTCAGAAAAACCAGTTCACAAAACATATGATGGGTATGAATGCGAATAAGGGATGTGGAGTATCAGAGAGGGCAGTTCTTTCAGACATTTCAAATGGTGTCTGAACAATCAGCTCTGTCATCAGTGAGCTGAGAGACACCGTCTGGTTGGAAATGTCCTGATGAACTGTCTGTTGTTAAGGCTACTGGTGCTGATAGTGGGCTCCCTGCTGGGTATCTAGTCTGGTTCTTCTGTTTATGTTTTGTTGGTTGTTCATTTTTCTTTTGCTTTTCAGTTTATTGATTGGTGTTTTATTGTGTCTGCTTTTTAAAAAGTCTAAGGTTTTGATACAGCTCATCTTATATCTCTGTAAACCTGAGCAACACTTGTGGCCTCCCCCCCAGGGACTACAGATGAAAAGGAGCTTTTAGATATATATTGGGCATTGGCCCTGCAAATTAAACGATAAAAATAAAAATAAATAAAAATAAATAATGGCCCCCAGGCATTCAGTACAGCAACCTGTCGTTGTACACCAGCTGTTTGATGTTTGGTGTGTGCATTATTAGCCAGAGAAATGTGAAGGAACAACTTACCTTCTAATCTGAGAGAGAAACAACGGTTGAAGATGACAGAACAAGATTTGGTGTCCGTGCAGGAGTGAGGGTCGGTGGCTGTGCATGTGTAGCATCTTAATCCACATGCTGGACACAGAGACACAGAACACATCAGGTCAAGTCATGGCACATATTACACATCACTTTTCTTCTTCTCCTTTAAAAAAAATGTAATTAAATTTTTTTACCAGTTTTCACACAGTTTATGTTATGTTGCGAGTGTTTTGCAGCAAGTGTGTGATCGCTTCATTTTGCATAAATAGCCAAGAAGAGAAACAATGAGCGGAGGGAGATGACGTGTAACAAGAGTTCTCGTCAGACTGATGAAGCCCAGACAGAGCGGCCTGGTGACTACTGACCACGCGCTCTTATTGGGCAATGGACTTCCTTTTCTTGCCGTCTTTTTGCCACCATGAGGTTAACCAGTGAAGACTAAAAAAGGTCAATGCTTCAGCGCAAGAGACAGTTTGACACATAACCCAATAAAAACAAATACTAGTGCTGGGCAAGTTAACGTGTTATTATCGCATTAACGCATTAATTAATTAACGCAGACAATTATTTAATCGCACGTTAATGCAGTTTGTTTTTTATTATTAAGCGGACATTTTTAACACAAGAACCTGACCAATAATTTGGCTGACCAGCCAGCAGCAAGCGGTGAACAGCTGTTTATGTGGCGTCTCTTCCGTCTCTTCCTGTTTCCTTCACCTACATTCCCCTGGGTCCTAAAGCCCTCCAAGTGGGCCTACAGCTTCTTATCACCCTCTATGTACCAACTTACATTTATAACAAATACCACACGTATTACGGTAATCAGCGTTCCATATGTGTCTGACCTAAATACCAAAAAAAGCAAAAAATAAATGATTCATTTTAATAATTTTTTTAGTTTTTAAAGTTGTTTTTGTTTGGAATATGTATAATAAGCATATCATTTAGTTATCGCTACTGAGAATTTAACAAACATAAAAAAATTGCATCTATTACACACTTGAAGATAAAGTTGTGAACACCGGCTGAATATCTATTATCAGATTCATAACTGTATTTTAACTGCTACTGTGTAAAGGGAATACTGCTGTTAAAAATAACCTTATTTGTTTAAAGTGTTTGCAAACCAAATGTTATTGCACTTTTGTGCCTTCTCTGCTGGCCTAAACAGAATCACAAAGCTATATCTATTTTATAATTGAATAATTTTTCTTAAATACACTACATGTATTATAATTTATAAAAATATTTTTCCCATTATCTTATTTTCTCATTGCACAGCTACTGTCTTCCTCAGTTGCTCTGCTTCCACTGTAGCTTGTTTTAAGTAGAGCTTTTATCCAATCAGATTGTCTCTAGGTCTCTAGGTAAGAACAGACGCCACAGGCCTGCAGACTCACAACTGCATCCATGTGCAGTTTAAGTGAATGGGGACGATATTGTTGATTGTCATAGTGTTCAACCAATCAGATCTTTAGTTTGACATGTTGGGCGTATTCTTTGATGTGTCAGCACCTGCTAGCCGGCCTATAATGATGTCAGCATTAGTGCAGCTCAGTGTCCATGTGCAGCTCTGCCACGAGGTGCAGAGTGTGCTGTGATTGGTCAGTGGGCGAGCACGTGACTATCGTGAAACGAAACTTAACAGCAGAGGCTTAGGGTACTTCTCAAGTCTCTTAATTGCATCCCTGTTTCCCTCACTTGCGTCCTTTCCTTGCGTCTTAGTCCCTCCCACCAGGGATGCATGGAGGAAACCATGCGAGGAGAGAGGAACGAGGAAATATGTTTTAGGAGACATGAGACGGCCTTTCCTCAGTTGCGTCACATGAAGCGACGTCTGTTTCTGATGACAGAGGATCAGCTGATCACAGCTGGATCAGCTGTCAGTCGGCTTTAACAGCTGGAGAGACTTTTGAGAAGTTTGTGTCTGTTCACATGATCACTGTAAATAATAGGAACTAATAATACTAATAACTAATAAAGACACAGTAATCACCACTGTAGAGGTGTTTCTCTCTGTAGTCTGTTAACAAACTGTGTTCTGTGTTCTGTTTATAAGCGCAGGATCGATTTCTACCGGCGGAATGCGATCGTCTTATATATGAATTATTTGTGTCTGTATGTTTTGAAATTGTAACTGTGACGTCATTATTAAATAACCCAGAATATGATTATTGTTTCTCTTAAATGATAAAACTCATCAAACACTCAGGAATGATGTAAAAAGTGTTTCACTCTCCAGCTCTCTCTGACTTTAATTGTTTCCATAATAAAAGTTATTGAGGGAAACATCAGATCATGAAAACACAAATCTTTCTAATAAATGAAGAAAGTTGTTTGTGGTCCTTTTGTTGTTCAGACTACAATGAACATTTATTTAAACCAGATGGTGAATCAGAAACCTAATCAAATATAAAGCTTGAGTTTATTCTGTGATCCGTCTTCACTCTGGTGTTAAACTCAGTCAGTCAGTCCGATCGGCTGCAGCGTCCAATCACATAACTGATGAACAATGAGGGGGCGTGTCGGCCGTTAAAAGACTTCCTGGAACTCTGTTCTAGTGGTTCCTCGCTCACGGCTCCTCCGAGGTCCCTCCTCCATCCTCGATCCTCGCTCCTCAGAGCTACATTAGAGCCTTTGGGACTGCCGTCAATATGGCGGCGCAGAAACAACTTCCGGTTCAAGCGAGGATCGAGGAGCGAGGAAATGACACTTAAGAGACTTGAGAAGTACCCTTAGTCGGGTAGTGAATCACATCACGTGATGCAGCTCAGCCAATCAAATATGGGCATTCTAACCCGCGTGAGATGTACCACACACCATGACACAGGGGACTGAGACGAGGAAAGACTTTGCAGAGCAGTACGCTCAATGTTGAAGTTGTGAAAGTAAAATCTTAAGATCGCTGTAGGTTAGGGCTTGTCATTAAGGAATGATGGTGGATCCCGCAGCCAGGCCAGCTGAGAACCACTGTCCTCCATGAGAGCAGAAAACATTATAATTTCTTGAGTTTAAGCTTTTGCATTTTCTAAATGCTCTACCATTGATCAAATGTATTGTAAGCCTCGTTCCGAACGGTTTAATACGAAGACGTGTATATAGTTACAGCCTTAAAAACAAATAATAGCTGTGGCGCCGTCATTTGGTTATAGGTGGTATTTCAGCTGCAGGACGGCAGCGTAGGCCCAGGTATAAAATGCACGGCCCGCCACTGGAACCAACAATATATTATGTTTTAGTTTCTGTCTTTTCCTACTCTCTCAGCTGCTGGCTGTAGCCTATACTTAATGGACAAACATAACTGTAAGAGCCAAATTCAGTTTGCTGTTAAATATTTACATTCTGCTAAAGGTTTGGACGCTACAATAACAGTGGTGGTCAATACGCATATTTTCCAACATGTTGAACTATTGTTTTTACCTTCAGACACCACTTTCTTTTCAGATTTTGTAACAGCATTTAAAAACTACAGCATTTCCTTATTTTTCATTGTTACAATATTCAGTCAATACACATAGGAAAGCTGTTCTTACCTGCAGACAGAGTCATAAACAGCACCAGAGCTCCATAAAGCTGCATCGTGAACGCGGAGGAAAACAGATTGTTTACCGGCCAAGTGAGGGGAGAACCGGAGAGAAGCCTTCCGCTTTCAGCCCAACTTCTTCTGTCTTCTTTCAGAGCTTGTACATTTGCATTTTCCTCACAAAGCCTCCTCCCAAGTGATTTGAATAAAGTCACCCTTAAAGTGACCTCATTATCCCTGAGACAGCCATGCACTTTTTTTTTTTCTGAAAAAAAGACAATAACTTAATGCTGTTATATGAGATCATCTCTCACAGTAGAAACAATTGAATATTTTATTTATGTGCTAACTTTTCACAAAGCTTTTATTTCTATCCTTTTCACTTCTTGTCTCGAAAGAGGCACTTTCACTTCCTTCTTGTGGTTCTAAAAACAGATGATCAAAAAATCACTTCCTTCAACAGGACACATCAAGCTCTGGGACAGAATGCTCATCAAAAACAGAGTAGACATGTGGTACTGAAATAGAGAAGGTAAAGACAAGTGGAAAAAACATTGACACAATGTGACCTTCGTTGCTGACCCATCAGTCAGCCTCTGACCAGTCAGACAGCGTCACCAGGTTGACGTGGTGCAAATGATCAGGTTAGTATATGGAGTGATCAAATGGGCAAACATTATTTCAATTTTATACTGACTGTTTAGAACAAGTTGCAAAATCTTACTAGCCTCTCGTATAGGAAAGATCATTTTGTCTCAAACTCATCAGGCTGGTGTTCTATTTTGAAATCGTCTGATTTTATCACAATTGTATCATAATTATCATTTATTACGTCACTATCCGTTATTTTTTTTACAAGGATCTACATCATTGTAATAGTTTTCTTGTCTCGATGGGGCAGTTTAAAACTGGCTCAGTTTCATATATAATGAGACCGGAAATAATTTACACATTGTTACGAGATGACGTGCCAAGAGTTAAAGTAGCTAATCTATGACGTTTAATTGTTTTAATCAGCACTAGATCACATAGACTCTATAATAATAAACTCTTAAACTCTCAGACAATCAAAAAAATAGCTCCAATGCAATGAAGAAAAACGTTGCTTATTCCGGTCCAGGTGTGACCACATACTGTATATATTTCCTCCACATTATTTAGAATAGTGGTTTAAGTTTGAAAAACAAATGCAACCGGAAATCTTCTAATGCTGTGATTGGCTTGACTTTAGCCGCGTCATGTACGCGCCGCGTGATCTCAGCACATGCGCCGCTATGTTTTGAAAAGCCGGGGCAGCCAAAGCCGCTGACTGCGCTGTTTAGCTTCGCGTTTGCACGGATTTCTGCACACCATAAGCATGTTTACAATGTAAGAGCAAACGAAAACATGCCGAAGTCCGCTAAAAAGTCCTGCACCACTCAGACCTCCATCAGCAGGTACTTCGGAGGTCCGAGCAGCAGCGGCGCCTCCGTTAACCAGAATCCTGCTCTGCACCAGCTTTCAAGACGCAAGGTGAGGCGTGCTTCATCGAGTACATGCTCAGGTCACTTATACCTCACTTAATGCTAATTACAGAACCTCAACTGCTTTCGTCCTGCAGAAGAAACTTTCCCCTGATCGTAGTGATTTGGGATTGTCAACAAAACGAGCCAAGCTTTGTGTCCAAGACCAGCAGGTGGAGGATTTGGACTGTGAGCCAGCACCCTGCCAGATCACTAAAGGTGACTGTGTGCACCTCAAACACAACATCCACTCGATCCTTCTTAACTGTCACACATGCCCCCCACGCCCTCACCCATTCCCAGCATCACGTTTCATCAAACAGCATGTGCAGTAATAAATCCTCCTGGTAATGTGTGTAGTTTGGAGCTGATCCGGATGCATTTGAACTTCTTAGAACATAAGAAAAGTGGAGTTTTATCTGATCTGACACGATGTTAGTCTGACAAACTAATGGCAGCAAATCTTCCCTGGTGAATCCAGGTGATACCTATTAGTATTCTCTTATACTGGTTTATAAGCCTTTTATTCCCAACGTCTCCTCTCACCCCAGAGAGGAGCCGAGGGGCAGCCGGCAGCCTCTGCTCCTCCACCTTGGAGAAGCTGAAAGGCTTCACCTGCTCGGCCGAGCCCGGTGTCGCTCAGAGGGACGAACAGAAGACAGGTGGTTCTGGTAGCAGTACGATCCGTGACAGAGGAGGCGGCGCTCGGCCTCCCTGGGAAGGAACAGATCAACGCAGCGAGGACAACAGCCTTAAACAGCCAGAGGAGGAGCTTGAGGATGAGGATGAGGAGGTCAAAGAAAAGGAGAGTTCAGGGACGGCTGCTGCAGAACAGGTACCCAATATATAAATGTTCCCTCAGAGGACATTTTGCCCTGCGATAGTGTCCATCAGCAAGGCAGCAGCCGACAGGCCCATTGTCTGTAAATGCTGCGGTCCCACTTCTGTCGAAAAACACATTTGAAATGAACTTTATTAGAAGCGTTTGTTTCCCGTGTTTGTTGGGCCACAGATATCACAGAATAAAAGATGAAGCGTTCGATCCCGTTTTACGCTTTAAGTGGGAAAACTGATGCTGCTGAAATGATTTTCTATGCATATTTTTTCTGTTGCAGGCGTTCCCCTTGTCTGAGTTTGCTAAGTCAGGAGGACGGAGAGGAAAAGGTGCAGAGCCGAGTCCTCCGTCCGACTCCGGCAACCCCTCCAGACGCTCGAAGAGCGCGTACACTCCCCTGGAACAGCAGGTCATCGCGCTGAAACAGCAGCATAAGGATGCCCTGCTGGCTGTGGAGTGTGGATACAAGTACAGGTTCTTTGGGGAGGATGCAGAGGTGATTAACTGAGGGAGCTTCTGTGGAAGGAAGTCAACAGTATCAATCCAACACATGTCATATGTGTGTTGCAATTGGTGGATATCTTCATAGTGAAAATGTGTTTCATTGTCGTTTAAAGGAGTGTTAATGTCATAACATACTGTTAGAGGCTTTCACACATGTCCTACATTTTATTTCTCTATTATAAATTCTCATAGTGGATGGAACTATTTTTTTTAATCTAACTACTGAATTATGAATACACAGATCAAAAAAATAAAACTTTCAGTAGTAAAATTAGAGAGCATGATGGGATTTTGAGGAGGGAGAGATTTCCTGTTGAGAGATGGGCCCCAGCACAGACGTCATCTTTGTGTGTGTGAGAACAGATCGCTGCGAAGGAGCTGAATATCGTCTGTCACCTGGATCATAACTTCATGACGTGCAGCATCCCCACGCACCGTTTGTTTGTTCACGTCAGACGGTTGGTGTCCCACGGACACAAGGTGTGAAATACATCTGTCTCTTTTTGCTCGTGTTCAGAAGCTGTTAATCGTGTCACTGATCCGAATGTTATTGTCTTCGATTTTTTTTTAGGTTGGTGTGGTTAAGCAGACGGAGACGTCCGCGATCAAGGCCTCGGGGGCCAATAGGAACGCTCTGTTCTCTCGTCAGCTGAGTGCTCTGTACACCAAGTCCACTCTGGTGGGAGAGGGTATCCTTCTGGACCCTAAATGTGTGTGTGTGTGTGTGTATGTGTGTGTGTGTCCTTTTAAAACAGCTTCTTCTATCTCTGCATGTCAAAAGCCTTGACAGCCTTCCTGAGATGTGAACCCGGTCTGTAGACTGGGCGATGTGGAGGAGGGGGGCGGTGGTGACGTGGTGTCGGACCCTCCTGACAGCTTCCTGCTGTGTATCAGCGAGAACTGGGACAAACCGAAGAAGCAGCTCACTGTGGGGCTGGTGGTGAGTATGATGGGTACCAAGTCACAACAGCATTCATATTTGTAGTTTATGTGAAAATGAAAGCAAGATCACATCTCAGGTTGTTTGTCAATACACAGTGTGTTGTTTTTTTACTTTTTATTTTACCTGAAAAATTTTTTATTAAGGATTTTGGAATACATTATAACAAAGGCAGACAAGACATACTTAAAACCGGTAGACCTTATATCTTAAAAAAGTAAATAAAATTAAGTATTACAAATAATAATAATAATTAATAACTAAATATATAGTAATTGATTTTAAACCAGTCCCTAATTCCCCACCCTCATTAAATAACGGGGAGGAATTATGTATGTATGAATTGATAGGAACAATAAGACTAAGAGTAAATAAATAGATAAATAAAGACAACCACAAACAATAAGACAAAACAAAACGTTTATGTTCTTTTACTATTTTCACTGCTCATCTAGAACATGGTACGCTGTGTATTTTGATGTAATTAGTTGTTAATTACCCGTTTATGAGAATGTCATCTCTGTTTTCTCACCCTGTAGTTAATGAGGTCCCATAATCTCATCTATGGGGAATGATTGGGTGATTTATAATAAGATTCACACTGTGAGATAATAAAAAAAAAAAGATGCCAGCAGACTCTGTTCATACCATTATTTGACTCTCCCTTTAGCATCTCAGGTCTTTTAGATTCATGTGGTGACGTTATATCCCGTCCCTTGAAGCCACTGAATTAGCCATAAACAGATATTCCTCTTTTTGCTTTATCCACAAAGATTATCTAAATGTATTATTCCAGTGTCATGACATGTATGTGTTTGTGTGTGCAGGCGGTTCAGCCCAGCACAGGGGACGTGTTACTGGACTGCTTCCCTGATGGTCAGTCTCGCTCTGAGCTGGAAGGTCGTGTCCTAAAGATTAACCCCGTGGAGATCCTGGTGCCCTCTGACCTCTCAGAACAAACCCTCAGACTCATACAGAGCATCGCCAATGCCAGGTAATCTGCTGTCAGGGCACTAGGGGGCAGCCTGCGCACATTTACTATCTGCTTATCTGTGTGTGTGTGTGTGTGTGTGTGTGTGTGTGTGTTTGTGAGATTTGGTCTTTTTTAAAAGTTGTCTGGAGGCCCCAGCAGGCTCTAGTGTTGATAAATGTCTTTGTGAGGCTTTAGAGCTTTTTACTCGGGGCCAAAGAAATAAAGTCCGTTGCTTTATTTCCAAGCTGCAGCTGCTGGGAAGTCGGATGGAGCAAACTTTATAGATATACACTCACCGGCCACTTCATTAGGCACACCTGTTCAATTGCTTGTTAACACAAATGGCTAATCAGCCAATCACATGGCAGCAACTCAATGCATTTAGGCATCTAGACGTGGTGAAGGCGACCGGCTGAAAGTTCAAAGAGAGCATCAGAATGGGGAAGAACGGGAATTTAAGTGACTTTGAACGTGACATGGTTGTTGGTGCCAGACGGGCTGGTCTGAGTATTTCAAAAACTGCTGATCTACTGGGATTTTCACGCACAACCATCTCTAGGGTTTACAGAGAATGGTCCGAAAAAGAGAAAATATCCAGTGAGCGGCAGTTGTGTGGACGAAAATGCCTTGTTGATGTCAGAGGTCAGAGGAGAATGGGCAGAGTGGTTCGACATGATAGAAAGGCAACAGTAACTCAAATAACCACTCGGTACGACCAAGGTATGCAGAATACCATCTCTGAACGCACAACACGTGGAACCTTGAAGCAGACGGGCTACAGCAGCAGAAGACCACACCGGGTAACACTCCTGTCAGCTAAGAACAGGAAACTGAGGCTACAATTCACACAGACTCACCAAAATTGGACAATAGAAGATTGGAAAAACGTTGCCTGGTCTGATGAGTCTCGATTTCAGCTGCGGCATTCAGATGGTAGGGTCAGAATTTGGCGTAAACAACATGAAAGCATGGATCCATCCTGCCTTGTATCAACGGTTCAGGCTGCTGGTGGTGGTGTAACGGTGTGGGGGATATTTTCTTGGCACACTTTGGGCCCCTTAGTACCAATTGAGCATCGTTTAAACGCCGCGGCCTACCTGAGTATTGTTGCTGACCATGTCCATCCCTTTATGACCACAGTGTACCCATCTTCTGATGGCTACCTCCAGCAGGATAATACACCATGTCACAAAGCTCAAATCTGACATTTAAACAGGACTGCTGTAATCATTTTCCCTCTTCATATTGGCCTTTTAATATATCATTTTTTTAATGTGCGTTCAATGTCAGTGATGGGGGGACAAAATCTACAGTTCTTGTTCTGTGCAAAAGATGAAGATAACATGAGGCTTCAGCAGTCACAATTACTCAAATCAAGTGGATATCTTTCCGAGTTGCAGCCTTTTTCATATGAAATGTCCTTATTCTGTTACAATTCTTCCACTGCCACTTTTTAGGGAAACACTATGAACATTGTTTTAAGACAGTGTTGACAAATTGTAACCTGTCCTTTAAGCACATAGATTATATGAGCATGACTTCCTTTTAATGTGTGCAGGCCGCTGTGTGAACCACACAATTCCCCCCCCCCCAAAAAAAAAGCTTAACAGCTTGTCCTTTTGTTCAGCGGCTGTGACTGTTGGACTGATGTATTCCAGAAACCTGTTGCCTCCCATCGTGCCGCCATTTGTCTCGTTCTCCGCCAACGGTCTGCACCCAGCATGTTCACACCAGTGGGGACCGGCTCATCTGGAGGCTGCCTGCGGTTGCATGATGCTCCGAAAATGAAACTGGGGAGGCAGCGGAGTGGAGTGGATTCGATTAGATGTTTGGATAAATGGGAAGGATGTCTGCTTCTTTCTGCCTCTTTGTGTCTCTGTGGTGGTGCACAGTTCTCATTACCTTTCTTTTTATATTCCAGTTGCTACATTCTTACCCCCCCCCCCCCCTCTGTTTAAATTTAATTCAGGAAGATTTGGTTAATTTGTATTAATTCCTTTCTCTCGCTCTCTCTCTCCCTCTACCCCGCTGCTTTGTTTCTTAGCCGTCCGTGTTGAGTGATTATAGCGGAGATGGACCTGTAAAGGCCAGCCCAATTATTGTGTTTGAGCAGCACTGCTCTCTAGCGTCGTGCTCATCGGAGACGAGACTCTCCTCAATTTGCCACCTGTTTCATACAAATACATGGCAGCTGTCTGTCTGTTCAGCTCAGACAGAAAAATTCTGTCACTAGCACTGGCGACTTCCCAAGATATTTTTCTCTGTGATTTATTTTTTTCTTCTTCTTCTTAATCATTCATCAGATTCATCAGACTGAAAGGAATTACACTTGAGATGTGTAAATTATTCTGATATTGGATGTTTTTATGGATACATGTTAACATCACAGTGATATCACTCCAACCCATTAGTAAAATGTTAAAGAAACAGCCACCCATGTGAGCCTTTAAAACGTTCGCCTCTGGGGTCGGGCCCCCTGGCAATGGGATGTGTGTGTGTGTGTGTGTGTGTGTCCGTGGTGCGGCGGGTAATGAGTCCCTCGGTGGCAGCTAGGTGCGGCATTGGTTGCCTTACTCATCCACAGCCTGGAGCCATGAGTCAGGATCAGAGCAGTGACGGGGTTTAGAGCCACAGAGGCTGTCAACACAAATGTTCTCGCTTTTCCAAAGATTTTAAGTCGGTGACTGACGCTCTTGAAAGTAAATATTACGTCCTGGGTACAAGGACAGTATTCATGTGTCAGGATAGATACACACACACACACACACCAAAAGACATAATCTGTGTATTTTACGAGTGTGTGTAAACGTTTAAAGGACGCTCTCAATGCTTTGTATTCGCCCTACAGCCATAGATACTAATTGAGCGCCTTAATCTGCTGTGCACATTAAGCTCTGCTCTCTGGGTGGCAACATCTCCGACTTAACCTTTAACCTTCCCTGCTTTTGATTAATTATCACTATCACAGTGCTCTGAGGATTGGGGGGGGGGGGAGAATTGGTCAATATGAAGAACTAAACCCAAGCAACATTTTCTCACTTACCCTTTAAGTGGTGTCTCTAGACGTGGAGGTACTTTTACTTTTGTTTGCCCAGATGCCTGTCTACGTTACGTTCATGATCCCCAGAGGACGAATCCTTATCATGCTGGTGATCCTCTTTACTTTTCCTCTAGCGCCATCATTTAGTACAAAACTGACCAAATATCAGCAGAACTGACATTGGCTGTGCTTTGCATTTAGTGCTAATTAGCAAACGTTAGCATGCTGCAATACACCTGCTACACATTAGCGTGCCAGTGTCGTCATTGTGCGCATGCTGGCTTGCTGACAATATCATTTAGCTCCCAATGTGACTGTCAAGTCTTTTTCTGTATAATGTAATTTCATTGCAGTGAGCAGCAATAATAAAAACAAAATAAATTCACCTTCATTGTATTAGTGGAAATCAACTGAAACAGAAACTATCTGCACGCTGGTTACCTGAACCTAAACCTGAACCGGTGTCCAGCATTGTAGTTTCCTGTCAACCTCAAACCAGACTGAGACTTCCTAAACCCAGGTTCACAATGCTGGGTCCTGCAGAAATGCCACACCGCATGCCTCTCTCCCCAGATCAATACCAGCGATTGTCGCTGTTCTGGTAAACCTCGTAATATGGTTGAATCGACTGGTTAAATGATTAATGGTCGCATTTGAGCGGCTGGCACAATATGCGCTCTATTGATCACGTTCATACAGTCTTTGCTGTCAGTCTGACCAGTGACTGAAGGGAGAGATTATGGTGTGTGTGTGTGTGTGTGTGTGTGTGTGTGTGTGTGTGTGTGTGTG